GTGGACAGAGACAATGCCATACACTGGTGTGTGGACAGAGACAATGCCATACACTGGTGTGTGGACAGAGACAATGCCATACACTGGTGTGTGGACAGAGACAATGCCATACACTGGTGTGTGGACAGAGACAGTGCCATACACTGGTGTGTGGACAGAGACAATGCCATACACTGGTGTGTGGACAGAGACAGTGCCATACACTGGTGTGTGGACAGAGACAGTGCCATACACTGGTGTGTGGACAGAGACAATGCCATACACTGGTGTGTGGACAGAGACAATGCCATACACTGGTGTGTGGACAGAGACAGTGCCATTCACTGGTGTGTGGACAGAGACAATGCCATACACTGGTGTGTGGACAGAGGCAGTGCCATACACTGGTGTGTGGACAGAGACAGTGCCATTCACTGGTGTGTGGACAGAGACAATGCCATACACTGGTGTGTGGACAGAGGCAGTGCCATACACTGGTGTGTGGACAGAGACAGTGCCATTCACTGGTGTGTGGAGAGAGACAATGCCATACACTGGTGTGTGGACAGAGACAGTGCCATTCACTGGTGTGTGGACAGAGACAATGCCATACACTGGTGTGTGGACAGAGACAGTGCCATTCACTGGTGTGTGGACAGAGACAATGCCATACACTGGTGTGTGCACAGAGACAGTGCCATACACTTGTGTGTGGACAGATACAGGGCCATACACTGGTGTGTGGACAAAGACAGCGCCATACAATGGTGTGTGGATAGAGATAGGGCTATAATACACTGGTGTGTGGACAGAGACAGGGCCACACACTGGTGTGTGGACAGAGACAGGGCTATACACTGGTATGTGGACAGAAACAGGGCAGTACACTGGTGTGTGGGCAGAGACAGGGCAGTACACGGGTGTGTGGACAGAGACAGAGCCACACAATGGCAGTACACTGGTGTGTGGACAGAGACAGGGCCATACACTGGTGGGTGGACAGAGACATTGCCATACACTGGTGTGTGGACAGAGACAGGCCAGTACACTGGTGTGTGGACAGAGACAGGGCCATACACTGGTGTGTGGACAGAGACAGGGCCATATACTGGTGTGTGGACAGAGACAGGGCAGTACACTGGTGTGTGGACAGAGACAGGGCCATACACTGGTGTGTGGAAAGAGACAGGGCTATACACTGGTATGTGGACAGAAACAGGGCAGTACACTGGTGTGTGGGCAGAGACAGGGCAGTACACGGGTGTGTGGACAGAGACAGAGCCACACAATGGCAGTACACTGGTGTGTGGACAGAGACAGGGCCATACACTGGTGGGTGGACAGAGACAGGGCCATACACTGGTGTGTGGACAGAGACAGGCCAGTACACTGGTGTGTGGACAGAGACAGGGCCATACACTGGTGTGTGGACAGAGACAGGGCCATATACTGGTGTGTGGACAGAGACAGGGCAGTACACTGGTGTGTGGACAGAGACAGGGCCATACACTGGTGTGTGGACAGAGACAGTGCCATACACTGGTGTGTGGACAGAGACAGGGCAATACACTGGTGTGTGGACAGAGACAGGGCAGTACACTGGTGTGTGGACAGAGACAGGGCCATACACTGGTGTGTGGACAGAGACAGGGCCATACACTGGTGTGTGGACAGAGACAGGGCAGTACACTGGTGTGTGGACAGAGACAGGGCCATACACTGGTGTGTGGACAGAGACAGGGCCATACACTGGTGTGTGGACAGAGACAGGGCCATACACTGGTGTGTGGACAGAGACAGTGCCATACACTGGTGTGTGGACAGAGACAGGGCAGTACACTGGTGTGTGGACAGAGACAGGGCCATACACTGGTGTGTGGACAGAGACAGTGCCATACACTGGTGTGTGGACAGAGACAGGGCCATACACTGGTGTGTGGACAGAGACAGGGCAATACACTGGTGTGTGGACAGAGACAGGGCCATACACTGGTGTGTGGACAGAGACAGGGCCATACACTGGTGTGTGGACAGAGACGTGGCCATACACTGGTGTGTGGACAGAGACGTGGCCATACACTGGTGTGTGGACAGAGACAGGGCCATACACTGGTGTGTGGACAGAGACGTGGCCATACACTGGTGTGTGGACAGAGACGTGGCCATACACTGGTGTGTGGACAGAGACGTGGCCATACACTGGTGTGTGGACAGAGACAGGGCCATACACTGGTGTGTGGACAGAGACGTGGCCATACACTGGTGTGTGGACAGAGACGTGGCCATACACTGGTGTGTGGACAGAGACGTGGCCATACACTGTAGCATACAACAAACACACAACCTTTCAGAGACACTTCCTTGATAACATTACAGGATATGACAAAACGTCTCACTGTTGATAAGATATCTGAAATCTTGAGGTTGTATCTACATTTTGTATTTTCTTGATCAATGGTTCTCAAAGTTTTTCAGGCTGCCGCTCCCAGGCTACATCCCCGGCGCCCCCCTCCTGCCACACACACACATACGAACCCAGGAGCTATGACTCGACTCCTGAAACCACAAATAGGTGTGTACCATTTTCATATTAGTTTTTTCGCAAATTCAAAACAACGACTAATCTAACACTATAAACATTTATTTTACAAATAAAAATTAACATAAACCAATTTACTTAACAATACGAAAGGTTAAATTTACATTTCTGTAACTACGTTGTCTTCTTAATAAGATGGATGTTGTTGGTACAGGAACATCAGCTTCACAACATCAGTCTTGAAGGTAGAAGATTGAGACACTTATGCAGCATATGGGAATCTTTATTCAGGAAACGTTTCGCCACACAGTGGCTTCATCAGTCCAATACAAAGAGGAAGGCGTAAGGAGAGGAGTATGAGGTAATCAGTCCCTCAAGGAAGGCGTAAGGAGAGGAGTATGAGGTAATCAGTCCCTCAAGGAAGGCGTAAGGAGAGGAGTATGAGGTAATCAGTCCCTCAAGGAAGGCGTAAGGAGAGGAGTATGAGGTAATCAGTCCCTCAGGAAGGCGTAAGGAGAGGAGTATGAGGTAATCAGGGACTGATTACCTCATACTCCTTTCCTTACGCCTTCCTCTTTGTATTGGACTGATGAAGCCACTGTGTGGCGAAACGTTTCCTGAATAAAGATTCCCATATGCTGCATAAGTGTCTCAATCTTCAACTTGTCGGTTTTTCAAACCATTCATCACACAGTCTTGAAGGTACTAAGAAGAAGTCTTAGATACCAGCCTTCAGTGAGTTTCCGTGTGTTACTTTGCTTGACTTAAGTAAAGCTTCACAGAACTATACTTACTGCTGCAGAATAAACTCTTCCTCAACTGTATGGGACTCACCAGATCTAGCAATCAGCAGTAAGATACTGCATGATGCACACAAGATATCAATGGGTTGTTGTGGAGTTTAACCAAATATATTTCCAATGGTTTTCCGTTTCTGTAAGTTTTCTCGAAGTGACTGAAAATATTAAGTTTTCGTCAGCTTTATCAGAGTGTATTTTCTTCAAGTGTTCCAGAAGCCTGGAAGGTTACATGACTTCATCTGATAAGACTGAAACGTTCGCTTTTTGATCTCTAACTTCTGACCACAAAATAAAACTATGATGCCGTCGTGTGTAACTCTGTTATTTTTATTCTTTGTAAACCATTTGTTATTTAAGTGTTTGTGACCTAGATTTTATCGTACAAATTTTGCTAAATAAATGCTCCCTTGCTTCTGATACCACCCTGCCGCCCCCATGCCCCCCCCTTCCACCCTCTTTCTCCTCACTCCCCTCCCCTGGATCTTTATACCTTCTACTTTAAGAATCACTGGACTAAATGAACACAACGTGTCTATAAATACTGCAACCCAGTAACGTCCATTTTTCTTTTATTTTTAGTAGTACGTAATAAGATACATATATTTACAGATAGTATTGCCTAGTGTACTGTGTACAATAACTACATGATGGTCAGATAAAGACCCATTGTAACCTCTATAATACTCTCTTTTGCTCTACCTGTTCTGTGATGAACTGTGAGTGTACAATAAACCCGCCGCTCAGGTGACACTTCTGAGGGAGGTGGGGTGGGGGGGTTGAGGAGGTGCTAAGATTGTTGATGGTGGGGATATTCTCGTGGTGTGGGTGACAGGTTGGTGGTGGGGTGGTGTGGGTGGCAGGTTGGTGGTGGGGTGGTGTGGGTGGCAGGTTGGTGGTGGGGTGGTGTGGGTGGCAGGTTGGTGGTGGGGTGGTGTGGGTGGCAGGTTGTGGGGGGGGGTGTGGGTGGTGTGGGTGGCAGGTTGGTGGTGGGGTGGTGTGGGTGGCAGGTTGGTGGTGGGGTGGTGTGGGTGGCAGGTTGGTGGTGGGGTGGTGTGGGTGACAGGTTGGTGGTGGGTGGTGTGGGTGACAGGTTGGTGGTGGGGTGGTGTGGGTGGCAGGTTGGTGGTGGTGTGGGTGGCAGGTTGGTGGTGGGGTGATGTGGGTGGCAGGTTGGTGGTGGGGTGGTGTGGGTGGCAGGTTGGTGGTGGGGTGGTGTGGGTGGCAGGTTGGTGGTGGGTGGTGTGGGTGGCAGGTTGGTGGTGGGGTGGTGTGGGTGGCAGGTTGGTGGTGGGGTGGTGTGGGTGGCAGGTTAGTGGTGGGGTGGTGTGGGTGACAGGTTGGTGGTGGGGTGGTGTGGGTGGCAGGTTGGTGGTGGGTGGTGTGGGTGGCAGGTTGGTGGTGTGGGTGGCAGGTTGGTGATGGGGTGGTGGTGGGGTGGTGTGGGTGGCAGGGTGGTGGTGGGGGTGGTGTGGGTGGCAGGTTGGTGGTGGGGTGGTGTGTGTGACAGGTTGGTGGTGGGGTGGTGTGGGTGACACGTTGTTGGTGGGGTAGTGTGGGTGACAAGCTGGTGGTGTGGGTGACAGGTTGGTGGTGTGGGTGACAGGTTGGTGGTGTGGGTGACATGTTAGCTTTGGGATAGTGTGATTTACAGGTTGGTGGTGAGGTGTCAGGTAGGGGTGAGACAGCCTGGTAGGGGTGGGGGATAACAAGTGTTGGGGAGGGTAGTGTGTGTGGCAGGTGGTACAGTAGCTCACCTCTCACTACCAACGCGACCTCCCCAACACCCACACACATACCCCACCTATACACATTACCATATAAACCACCAAACTATATTAGCTACCTACACAGAAAAGTAAAAATCTCTCGATTATCAGTGTTTACAAGTGAAAAAAAAAGCCTACACAAAATTGAACATATTTCACGTGATATCATTGCCTATAGAAAAAAAAACTACATTAGGCTTCCTGGTTTTCACAAGTGCTACAACTTAACCAAATTTCCGTAATATGGTTTTCTGCGGCGTGGACCCCAACAGGAGACAAAGCCGGGAGCTGGAGAAGAAGATCACAGCCTGGATGAAAGACTACAAGAAAGCCATCAAAATTTTGTTACTAGGTAAGTGAGACAATATAATCGCTAGGCTAAGCTTGAATTTTAAGCTTGACGTGACAGAATTGATGACTTCCGCTGCTTAACTTTGTAAATAGTTCACTGGTACTATGCTGTACTGGTACTGAACTAGCACTGGTACTGTACTGATATTGTACTGGTACTGTACTACTGTACTGGTACTGTAGTACTGTACTGTTTCTGTACTAATACTGTACTGGTACTGTACTGGTCCTGTAGTACTGTACTGTTACTGTAGTAGTACTGTACTGTTACTGTACTAGTACTGTACTAGTACTGTACTAGTACTGTACTGGTACTGTACTAGTATTGTACTGGTACTGTACTAGTATTGTACTGGTACTGTACTAGTATATGTACTGGTACTGTACTAGTACTGTACTAGTACTGTACTAGTACTGTACTAGTACAGTACTATTTACTGTACTGGTACTGCACTGGTCGTGTCGCTCGGTGCTACAGTGGGGGAACATCACAGTAGTGCACAATCCCCGACAAGGTAACATACATCTGCAACAGTTAGATACTTTAATTATGAAACTTTTCGCCTTCACAGTAGGCTTCTCATTTCAAGTACAGAGGAGACAGCAGAGACTTACTGCTTCTTCTGCCTCTTCGTATCCGACTGAGGAAGCCTCCTGATGGCGAAACGTTTAAAAAAAAAAAATTACCTAATTGTTGTACATGCTTCAGGTGCGCGAAGGGGCTCTTGATCCAAAGAACTACAGCTACTCTCCAATACCTCCCTTTCTCCAGAAATTTTTTAACGCTACACAAAAATTTAATAATAAAATAATAATGTTTACTTGCTTTGCTGAGTACACACGAAGACTGATGTCTGGAGTATACCTGGAGTTTACCTGGAAGAGAGTTCCGGGGGTCAACGCCCCGCGGCCGGCCCTGTTGACCAGGCCTCCTGGTGGATCAGAGCCTGATCAAACCAGCTGTTACTGCTGGCTGCACGCAAACCAACGTACGAGCCACAGCCCGGTTTGATCGGGAAAACCCGACTTAGGTGCTTGTCCAGTGCCAGCTTGAAGACTGCCAGGGGCTGGGAGGCAGTTCAACAGTCTCGGGCCCCTGACACTTATTTGTATGGTCTCTTAACGTGCTAGTGCACCCCTGCTTTTCTTTGGGGGATGTTGCATCGTCTGCCAAGCCCTTTTGCTTTCGTATGAGATTGATTTTCGTTTTGCAAGTTCGGTACTAGCCCCCTCTAGGATTTTCCAGGTGTATTAATCATGTATCTCTCCCGCCTGCTTTTCCAGGGAATACAGGTTTTAGAACCTCAAGCGCTCCCAGAAATTTTGAGTGTGTTTTATCTCCGTTATGCGCGCCGTGAAAGTTCTCTGTACTTTTTTCTAGGTCAGCAATTTCACCTGCCTTGAAAGGTGCTGTTAGTGTGCAGCAATATTCCAGCCTAGATAGAACAAGTGACCTGAAGAGTGTCTAGGGGACATGGTAATGGAATTAATTACTAATACTCACAAGATGGATACAGGGAAACTACTGTCCACAGGATAGGAAAAATGATTACTAGTGTTCACCACATGGGTTTGGAGTTACAACCGTCCACAGAAGAGTAGTGGGTTACTACTCCCATAGTATGGGAATGGGGATACTACCACCCATAGCATGGTATGGGTTGCTTCACCATTGAATGGTATGGAGCAAACTGCCACTCAAAATATAGGAATGGAGGTACCTACCACCCACAGAAAGGATGTTTTACTACCATCCTCGGAAGTGTGTTAACTATCGTCCACTGACTTAACGCATAAGATGTATCAAGACTTCCGCGTACAACTGCCAGACGTCTCCAGTTTTACGATGAGTTGAAGGAACAGTTACAACCATTATCAGTTAAACTGCTTTATAAGATTCACGAAGTCCATAATTGGAATAATATTAACACCATTAAAATCTGTATTGAGTGTAACACTGTGTATAAGCGAACTCAAAGTGTATTGGAAATATAAACACATAAGCAGTATAAAGTGATCCTGTTTGTGACTTGATAATCCACTGTGTGGGCAAAAACGTTGTCAATAAAGGATCACATTATACTGCTTAATGAGTTTATATTTCCATTGTGTCGGTATTTTATACCATTTATTTCTATAAAAGGCAGTGTTCTCCTGCTAGGGAAACTGTCATGGCCAAGTGCTGGATCTCTTTCTTCTTAAGCAATTATATTGAAAAAAAAAGCTTTTTTTGGATCTGCATGAGAGGCAGGATATGGTGTTTTTACATACCTACAGTATTACAGGATACTGGCAGAGAAAAATATCCTTCCTGGAGAAATTACCAGACTGATATAATAGCTGGAAAAGTGACGGAATAAGAGAAGTAATAGATGCACACAAAGGCACGACTGGCATAGAAAATAAAACAGGTGGGAAAGAGACACTTTATGCAACATAGCACAGGTGTGCTAAGAAGAAAATTGCAAATTAAGACTAGTTGAGAAAGAAACAATGCAATATACTACGGGAGAGGCAGATTTAGTCGTACGAAATAGTGCTTCGGCGGTTTGACAGATCTAATCTATTTTTGAAGACGTCGCTGGTACAGATTTTTGAAATGAAAAATAACTCTTGAGTTGATGTCGCTGGTTCTGGTTCTTTTTAAAGAGGAGGGAAGCGGTTACAGATCTAGAAATGTGAAGTAGTGCTTCAGCGGTGCTATTGCTCTTCGGGTGCTGTTTCCCCGAAGACGGTGCTGATAAGATCTAAAAAACTACACCAACAAATCACAGCCAACGGAAAGTCGAAATGAATAAATTCTAGGGTTTGGGGTGTCTGTGATGCCCTGGAAAAATGAGACGTAAAAAATTTACCTTCCCAATGGCGCATGTTCTAGTTCTTTGCAAACTTATTCGTTAAATGGAATTTAACAAACACTGCCCTGCATGCCATTTTGAAAGGACCAGGAGATAAAAAAAAAAAAAAAAAAATCTTGGGGGACTAGCCAATGCTTTTTACAAACCATTCTAAACTCAGGAATATATTTTAGTGCCATTTTAGTGGAAAAAAAAAAAGGAAATGACAGAAATATACCGGCCGCCTCGGAGCCTCGTTGGGCTGAAGCACAGTCAGTGGCCTTCACTCCAGAATCACTAATATCATTGTCACACAAAAAAATTTCCCCCAACAAATAAGCCATGCCAACATTTCTTTTTTGCGAATACACATCATTAAACCATCAACCACAAACAAAATACCAATTATTAGTCCCAAAAAGAAATGGAAGAATTACAGCTTTTACAGAGACCTACATAAAAATCACTCTGACAACGAAATGTTAGTTCCTGGCAAAAACACAGTGTGACCGAAGACAGACAGCAATTGGATTATAATCATAACTAAGCTCTAATCCCACAAAAGTCATACAGTGCTGACAATAGGGTAGAAGGGAAGGTTTGACTTCTTCAGTCACTCATTTCCACAGAGTTGCGTATCGCTGTTTAATGATTAAACCCGAAGGGCTGGCACTAAAAATTAAATGAGACACATATGCAGCATATGTCGGCTTTTAAACCATTTAATACTAAAAGTTGAAAACCAAATACAATTTTCCCCACGATTCAAAGACCGCTATCGAAAATCGAACACTATCTGGAAAACATTCCAGTCCCAACCCAAAATAACTTCTTGCTTGGGGATTTCTATTAAAAACTTTTAAAATTAAAACTCCAGAAAATTCTGCAATAGCAAAGGTAATCCCAGGAGGCAACTCAAATGAGAAGTCTCACAAATGATCTACTGAGGCTAAAGAATTCGCCCTGAGGCAACAGGAAAGACTAGGAAATACTGACCTTATATCCACGATCAATGATGATCTGATACCAAATAAAACTGTGCTAAAGACAATAAGTACATTCAGATCACAACATAAGCGAAGTTCAGTCCTGTATGCACATGAGTCCTGACCAGCACAACACAGTCATGTCAGTAGTTTTAACAAGAACATCAATTGGGATCAAATAAATCGTGTTCTTATCCGTCACAGGTTGGGAATATATTTTTAATATAATGAATTCAAATCAATGTCTAGAGAGAATTAAATCCTCTCTAGACATTGTGGCACTAAATTCTTAATGGTATGTGCCTTAGCACATACCATTAAGAAAAGAAAGTAAAGATGTACCTGGGTGTACACCACGTACGAGCCAGTCACCTAACATTTGCTACTCCTTTTTGTCTAGTAGTAAATAGGTACCTGGGTGCTAGTGGGCAGTTGTAAGTGGCTTCCATGGAATGAAAAGCGGGTGTAAGCTTACTGCCACCTGGTGGTGATGGGAGTAATCGTTACTACCACCACTGTTATCAGCTGGTGGTTGTAGTGGTAGTTTTTATCACCACTATCATCACCTGGTGGTGCTGGTGATTGTCACCATAAAAGTAACAAAATATATTAATTAATTAATTAAATATTTCGTCTTGCCGCTGAATAAATAATATCCAAAAGAGAAGAAGGAAGAAGAGAAGACCTGGAGAATATCTCATCAACTTCCATTATTTCTCTTATTCTTGCCTCGTCACCTCATGGACAAGACCCGGGCAGGGAGTATACCGCTTCGAATCGAACCTCTCATTCCCTCTCGACCCTTTCCATCACTCAAGTGGATCAGTAAGCCAAGTGTCATCAGAGACTGCTGCTCCTTACCACCTCCTGGGATTGCTTTTGCAGCCTGTCATGATAATTTCGAAATGTTTCTTCCTGGGTAGACCTCAGAGAGAGTGGAACGTTGTTTGCCTGTGTGTTATGTAATTTCAAGTAATATGGTACTTAAGCGCCTTGTTTACCGTCGTCACTGATCCTTAGTAAGGTACAGTTGCGCCTGATATTTTTTGAATCATCAAATTTACAGGCTAAAGACTGTTAGCCTACCTCAGTTTTATTCAGAACTGAGCCCAAAGAATGTCACCCGCAAAAATCAACTCTGGTACCTATTTACTGCCAGGTGTGCAGGACCAGCAGCT